TGCAACGGGCACAGGCACGGTCAGAGGCAATACAAGGACGTGCCAATGGTCCCTGATCCAGGCAGGCTTGTCCATCCGACAATCCCTCCTGGAGAGGCTTCCCAAGGGAGTTGCAGCGCTACCCGCTTGTCTAGCCGACAATTCGGGCGCTGGCTCTTGGGATTTTATATGTACCCCTGAGAACACTTCTGCAACTGCTAACTGCGCACTCTAATTCGGCACCCATCGCAAGCAGGCAGATTCGGCCTTGCTGCAATCAGCGCCCCTAGCAATTCTGCAACGACAGGGACCGGCTTGATCATCTGTTTGTGCGAATACCTTTGAAGAATGCTTCTCTTAGACTCTTCTTGCTCTGATGCCAGCTACTGGCTCTTGCCGGTCCCCAGGACTCTTTGCATCTTCGGGCTACTGCAGGAAGAACAGGGCCAGGGAGATGCCCGCCAATCCCGACAAAGCTGGCGCGGCGGTAGATGTGCTCTGCGGGAGGGTAGGAGGCACATCGTCCCATTCGCTCGGGGGCTTGCACTCGACGGTCTCCATCATCGAGCCCATGCAAACCACGTTATGTGTCTCTGAGTAGCCGTGCCCCACCACGTTCATGTCGCCCTTGACACCCATTGCCATGATGATGTAGAGCGGAGTGTCTGCGGTGAGAACCAAGTCAGTGCAGTCGCCCGTGTTCAGCTTGCGATGGAAATCAGCCTTCATGCGACCGCCCGAAATATCGTAGGAGACTTCGGTCAGATCCTGCTTTGAATCAATGACGATCGTCTTGCCAGGAAGGTTGCACTGGGAGATGCTCACAGGCGTGGCGCCGTTCATCACCGTGAGGTTCATGGCGCAAAACATCTGGCCGAGGCATTGGTAGGCACCACAACCACCACAGCCGCCACCACAAGCACCACAAGCGCCGCAAGCGCCGCAAGCACCACAACCACCGCAAGCAGTGCCGCATGCTCCACAGGCTCCGCACGCAGTAGTGCCGCATGCTCCACAGGCACCGCATGCGCCGCAAGCAGTCGCGCCACATGCACCGCAAGCAGTAGTGCCACATGCGCCGCAGGCTCCGCATGCAGTGGTGCCGCATGCTCCACAAGCGCCGCAAGCAGTCGTGCCGCAAGCACCGCAAGCAGTAGTGCCGCATGCTCCGCAGGCACCGCAGGCAGTAGCGCCGCATGCTCCACA